TCTGTAAAGGCCCTATTTCCAAATACAGTCGCATTCTGAAGTTCTGGAGGATTAGGATTTCTACACACAAATTTGAGGGGGACACAAACAGATGGAGGTGATTAGAAACTTAGTTCCCTTGGGTTAAGCAATCCAGAGGTGAGAAAAAGAGTGCAAGAGGAGGACTTCTGTGTTTGTTTACTTCTTCAGTTTTGGTATAGAAATAGTTTATGATTAGTGACTCAGTATTAACTGCTGCTCTTTTTGAGATTTTGTGCTCTAACCATTATTCTAAATCAGCGGTTCTCAACCTGTGGGTCGCGACCCCTTTGGCGGTCGAAAGACCCTTTCACAGGGGTCGCCTAAGACCATCCTGCATATCAGATATTTACATCACGATTCATAACAGTAACAACATTACAGTTATGAAGTAGCAACGAAAATAATTTTATGGTTGGGTCACAACATGAGGAACTGTATTTAAAGGGCCAGAAGGCTGAGAGCCACTGAAATACACACGTCTCTACAGAGTGATTAATCTGCTATAATTAAGATGTGACCTTTTCAAATTTTCATTGAAAACAAAAACAGAAGTGCCATCTCATATGTTAAAGAGCTTTGAGTTTGGCACGCAGGAAGCCATTTCCTTCAAGAGGCCCTCATTTCTGTTCCACAAACACACATCACCCCGATTAAAGGGAAAACAGGGTTCTTCCTTCCAGGCAGTGCCTGATCCCTGGGGAAACCTGGAAACTACAAAAAGCTCGATTTAAAAATTAAAGACATTTCAAACCCAGCAAGATCTTACATGGAAAATAAACCCTCCAGGTGCGTTGTTTTGAGTTTGGTTGAAACTATTTGTACATTTCTGCTTCGAATGGTATAAACTCACAGGAACAAAGTAAACCGGAGAGACCATCAGATGGTGAGCAATAGCAACAAAGGAAGCTGTGCACAAAGTAGCAGGGCTGAGAAAGCTGAGGACCAAGTGCGTGCAGAAGAGACGGTTAATTCTCACAGGAATATACAGCAAGTCCCGGCAATGAGAGATGCCAGATGCTGGGGAAAACTCAGGTGAAGCCTGGAATGGAAAACAGGGGTAGTGGCTAAAACTGGTGACCACCACGCCACACCTTGGCAGAAGGCTGACAGTTTATTTTATGGACTCATGTTGGTTTAGTTTCTCCAGACCAGGGGACTTTAGATTAAAGAGAGCATGAAAGAGAGGCACTGAATGGAGAGCAGATGGGTTAATTAAAATCTGCACCAAGTATTGAGCAAACAGAATACTGGCTGTCAGATAGATTTTTCTCTAGAGGCGATGAATGGCCCAGGACAAAAGGCTTACAGATCCTGACATCTGAAGGACGCCAGTGAAACAGCAGAATCCACACCCAGTCACCTGGGCAATGAACAGTCAACAGAAAGGTGGAGCCTGCCCCCTTTCTGATCAGTTTTTAGTATATAAAGAAAGACAAAGATCTCTAAGAAAGCCTTGAACATAAAAGACCAAAATAAACAACAACAGAAAAACAGATAGCAGAAGAGATAAAGCAACTCAAAACAAAACAAATAAACACAAAATACAACATCCCCAGAGACACAGAGACATTTTATCCAAGAAACAACAAAACAACAAAAGAATATTATAAAGAAAGGACTGGCAGTGTGTGTGGAGGAAAGATCTCACCCAGAAAAGCAAAACAAAAAGCCAAAGAACTGAAAAGGAAAACCAGAGGATCAAACCAGCATTCAAAATCTCAACAAGGAGAGTGCCAAAGAGAAAGAAGAGAGAAAACAAGGGTGGGGGATCAGCGAAATAATACAAATACAGCTCCCAGAATGAAATTTAAAAAGGCTGTTTTTCTAACTAAAATAGTTCAATAAATGTAGCATGAAGAATGATAAACAGACATACACAACACATACCAGTTCACATGACCCTGACATATAAGGCAGCTGGGGATTTAAAAAAGTCCTGTGACTTTTCAGAACCCCCCCTCCTACTCCCATCCCAAAGGCCACATACAAAAGACTGAGGATTAGGGTGGCACTGGACTTTCATAGCAATTCTGCAAGTCAAAGAAAATATTGACCAGTGCCATCAAAGTTCCAAGGCAAAATTAATTTCAAACTAGAATTCTATATCCAGCTAAATTAAGTAATCAAATATGAAAGGGCAGAATAAAGACATTCTGACATGCAAAGTCTTTAACATTTTGCCACATATGCATTCTTTCTCAGGAAGCTACTAAAGATTCAAGAAGTTTTAACCTAATTAATCAATCAACTGATCCATTAAACAATAATAGCAACAAGCAAAGGTGTTCAGCAAGAAAAAGAAATGCATGGGATCCTGGAATGGGCTTTCCATAGCAGAAATGAGGGAAGGCACAGATGATGGTGCTGGTTGTGCAACTATCCTTCAGGACATCCAGAAAGCCAGCTGGCTCCAGGAAGGGCGTATGAAGAGAGTAGAAACGCTAGTTGAGTTGTGCTGAATAGTGTGGAAATTAGTATTCAAAGACAGTCAGTTTAGCACATGTTTGGCTGCAAGTTTCTAAAGATCCGATTCAGAATGGCCTAAATGATAAACGGGAGTTTATTCTCTCACATAACCAGAGGTACAGGAGGAGGCAACTTCAGTAGCTGATTTGTTCAGCAGTTCAACATCACCATCGTTCCAGATTCTTCCTACCTGTTGCTGCTCATCTATCCTCTGCATGCTTTTAACCTTCTCAGCTACAAGATGCTGCATGCCACACTCTAAGCCTCTGATCCGCACACACCAAAGCCAGCCACAGGAAAGGGGCTCTCTTCCTTGTGGGTCTATTAGGAAACCTTCCCCAGAAACACCACTTCTCTTCTAGGGCTCCTTGGCCAGGCTCCTTCCAACCCACCGCTGACTGAAGGGATGTGCCCCAGGGTTAGTTCACAGCAGTGCTCTATTGCACTAGACACACAAGGGAAATATCTGAATAGCCCGGTGGAATAATAAATGAAGCTGTGAAAATCTCAGCACATCTGGCACCCATTCATCACATTGGGTGTGAAATGTTGAATTAGACCAGTCAGGATATCAGAGCCACAGGGTAAAGATTGTGAACATCAGAATAACATGGGAGGCGAGTGGGCTGAATAAAAAAATAAAAATAAAAAGAGGAAAATGGTACCTGCTGGAGAAGAGTTTAAGCGATTCTCATTAAAAGTTTGGTAAATAAGAGGAACGTAGGAAAGTAAGCAAATGAAAATAAATGAGACAGTTATTAATTCCAGGGTAAATAAAATGGGTTAGGAAATGACAGTTTACTAGTTATTTGAATATTTCACAATTTATGTCAGTATAACTGATTTATCAAAAATGATGCAATTATACTGGGATCATGGAGAGAAAAAAAGTGGGGCAGGAGTGGTAGTTAAGTCTTAATCTATATTGTCCCATAACAGGAAGTCAAAAGAAAGTGCCTTAATTGCTACACAAATCCCTCCCCCTACAAAAAAAAAAAAAATCCCACCAAAAATTATATATTTAAAAATTTAGCAAAGCTAAACAAGTTGGAAGTAGTTGCTTCTGGGGAGGGCCAGGCAGGATTGCAGTTTTTATTATACACTTTATAGTACTCTAACTTTTAAAATTCTGTATGTCACTTTATTTTTTTAGTCTCATAGATAGAAAATAGTGAGGTTCCCCTCACTTTTTGAACGGGCCCTTTATATGGAAAACACAAACTCACAATGTATTACTCAAACAAAAGCAAGTTCTGATGTTGCCTTTCCCCCCATTCACCTCCTCCCCCCATCCCATTCCTCCAGCTGTCCCTGTCCCACCCTTACACTGGTGGGGTCTGGGTAGTGGGGGTTAAGGGGATTCATGCCAAGGAGAAGTATGAATGGGTCAGCTCTTTTGCATTGGGTGGAGTTCAAAGTTCCAGGCAGGAGAAGGTGGCAGGTGAAGTCCTGGGAGTAGTCCTGGGACCCTGTTGTCTGGTCAGGAAAGGCCCAGCAATTCTCCAGCAAGTGTAGTTACAGTGACAGACCCCAGTGGGCATCATGTTACAGTAGGCTACTTGAGCATGAATGATCTACCAAACCTTCCAAGCTCTGTTGCTAAAAGCCAAGTGCAGTTACATAATTTAAACATCCTAACTGAATGTAATTCAAACTTCTGCACTGTTAACAAATTAGCATCTACTTCCTAACTCAAACCCTATAGGTTTCCACTACTTTAGGGATAGTCCCAAAGAAGAAAATTTCATCAAAGGAAACTATTTATAGGGAAAGCCCAGATCCAAAGATAGGCAGATTTCCCCAGTGACCTTGACCTTACCAACCCTACCCATCATGATCCCCTAACTCACCTAGCACCGTGGTCGGCAAACTGCAGCTCCCGAGCCACATGCGGCTTTTTGGCCCCTTGAGTGTGGCTCTTCCTAAGCCTTAGGAGTACCCTAATTAAGTTAATAACAATGTACCTACCTATATAGTTTAAGTTTAAAAAATTTAGCTCTCAAAAGAAATCTCAATCGTTGTACTGTTGATATTTGGCTCTGTTGACTAATGAGTTTGCCGACCACTGACTAGCACATTCTCCCTATTAGCCCTAATTTCCTCGAGTAGCTTTCAAACAAAATCTAAGGTGGAACCCAATCCATAAGGCAGCTAGGAATGTGGCTGCCCTGGATGCAGGTTACCCTCCCCTCCCTGCATCCATCCAGGCCCTAAGGTGAACAGTTCCTGAAGTTCAGCTCACAACCAGTAAGTCCTACCTCACTGCCCTCAAAACTCCCTTTAGCTCTTCTTTTCTACATCCTGCTTTCCTCTGAGGCCCTCTCAAGTCCCACCCCCTCCATGGAGCCTTCTCAGACTGCTGCTCACAAAGGATGTCTTCCCCTGAAGCAACTCATGCAACCACTTTATATGTATTTGGTTGGTCCCACTGCATCTGACCATTAAACCCTTTACAACACTCCCTCACACTGCGATTTACTTACTATTCAAGATAATAAAGAAGATGGCTGGAATTTTTTTTTAAAGGGCATTTTTAGAAAGCATTTTATAAATAAATTCATATACAAAGAAGAAGCACATACACTGAGTACACAAATTACCAGTGTGGTGGACCCCTAGCCCTTCTCTCCACTCTGGGAAAACAGATCTGACGAGAAACAATGATTCCATCTTGGTAATTGTGTCCATCTACACAGACAGTTTTTCAAGCAGCATTTCTACTCCTTTGCTGGTGCTTTTGTTTTTCTGCAATGTGGGGATCAGGCTTTTCAGTCCAGCTTTGACTTTGCTTGCAACTTCTTGATCAGAACTCTGGAGAAGGCTGAAGAGAGAAGACGAAAACTAAATTCCATAGAAATCCCTAGATTGTCTGCCAGTGCTACCTGCAGCCACAGTAAACAAAATTTATTGACTTGTGAGACAAGTCTTATAACTATAAACGCATTTTTCCATCAGATAAATGATAGGGCTAGTAGCCTATGTTCTAAAACCACATAAATAAAAACCATTTCATAGTCTTGTTGGTGGAGTCACTCAAGGAAAGTAGGAGCAACTCCGTTCCATATAGAATTGGTCCTTTCACTTTGACTATCTTAGGACTAACACCCTGCCTTAAAATTATTTTACTACACGTATTCTATCTCCCCTTCTCCACCTGAACTCAAAAGCAGAAACCTGGTGTTTTTCTCCATGGCACCACGTGTACAGAACAGACGGCCAAGAATGTTCACTGAGCCTCTGAATTCACATGAATGAACAGGTGCACAGAGAAAGGTGGGGCCGTGAAAGGGAAGCAGTTAACGGCCTCCTTACTGAACTCTGCAGCTAAAACATTTAGTGAAGGGGTGAAGAGCTTTACCTTAGCGCTTAACTGCCTACATCTGAAACCTGCCTCTGCCACTCAATAACTGAATAGCCAAGAGCAATGCTATTTAAATTCTCTAACACTCTTGACCTGTAAAGTGGGATCAACAACAGAATCACCTTTTTCCTCACAGGGTGTTTTCGGGGCTCAAATGATCTTGTATGTAAAGCACCTAGCCAGACCCTGACACTTAGTAAGCATTCAATCAGTGTGAGTCATTAAGCAAAACAACATCAGCTCTGCTTCCCGAGACCTTGCTGGAGTGATCCATCACCAGGGAACGCGGCCGCAGAGGCGGGCTACTGTGGGGAGCCCATATAGGGTTAAGCCTTGGACTGACCTGTTGGCAAAGTCACAAACAAGTCCCAGCTTAGAGGGCACAGTCCTCTTAAGCATAATTAGGCTTGACCTTATGAGGCTCCCTAGATCTTATCTGGGAAGCTAATGGGCTGAGGGAAGTGCAGCAAGAACAAGAACAAAAACAAGTGAAACTCACAAGAACAGTGTAACTTTGGTAACCACTACCTTGTTTACCTCTGACTATAAAATAAAGACTCAGTTTGCCTCCGGATCTTTCTCTGTGGCCTCAGCCAGGCACAGGAAGATCCACGGAGACTAAAGAGAGCTAGAGAGCTATGAACGCTGTCTCCGTGTAAATCATTCTTCGCCGACTCCGTCCACACCTTTGGGAACCCCTGGCCCGCCGGGGCTGGACCCCGGCACGCTACACACAGGCCCTTCTCTTTACATAGGGGTTGGGACTCAGGCAGCACACCAGGGCTGAATTTCCTGTCTTCCCCCCCCCCCCACCCCACTTCTGCAGGACATGTACATGTGAACTTCTTAAACATATGCTTGGCATTTTTTAAAGTGCCTGGTCCCTATAACTTTCATCATGTTGAGAAAGAGAAGGATAAGCTAGCAGCCCCAAGCACCATTATCTCACTCGTGGGTTACAAGCAACAAATACTGCTTGCCACCTATGAAACTGAAAAGTGCCCTTTTAATAGATCTGTGACTCACTACACAATTTTATTTTAAATACCTTGGCTAAGCACATAGTCACATAATGCACAGTGATAAAAGTTGATATTTATTGAGCATGTGTATTGGACATAATGCTAAGTATTTTATATGTATCATCTCATTTAATTTTTTTAAAACAACACAGAACTATTATTTATTTCATTTTAAAACCCAGAGAATTAAGACTCAGAAGCTGAATAAAGTGCCGAAGGCCACACAGTGAGCTGAGACTGGAACCCAGTCTGTTTGTCTAGAGCTCATGCCTGCTAGACAATTCTGCTTCCCTGGGTTAGTATTCAGACTGCACACAAGGCCGATTTTCTTTTTCACCCAGAATGCTTTTTCACTTAATGCAAAAAATATTTAGGAAAAAAAAAGAAAATTGCAAGAGTTTGAAGTAAACTATAAGCAGGCAGATCATTTTACCAAACAAGTCAAGCACATGACAATATTCTAAGAACCAAACAAAAATGATTACTGTATTAATAAATTATTAGGTTATCTATGGTTCATCTTCCCTTCTGAACCCCAAATACTTCATGTGCTCCTGCTCCAATTCTAAGCAGTGTTCCATAAGAACCTATAATATTCCCCATATGTTTGCAATCCACCCAAGGGCAGCTCAGATTGATGAACGATCTCTATAAATTAATTTTATGGCACTGTTGAAATTTCTAGTTAATTAAGTGTAATGAAAGAATGTGTCAGTAGATGGTAACCTTTCAAATGTCTGATAAAGAAATTTATATAAAAAAAGTGCATGTTTCAGCTCATAGATTCTGGGTGTTAAACATCAACTGAAAAATTAATTTTAATGGGAAATGAACAAAATGATGTGTCACCCATGTTTGTAGATACTGATATACCTGAAAAAAAGAAATGTTCATATGGAATGTGTATGTTTGTAAGTATATTATATAATTAAATTATATATTGAACAAACATAACATTTACTGACATTACAGATGAAATTGCATAGCATTTGCATATGAAATACTGAGGGAAATTCAAACTAAGATTGGTATGTTTTCCAAACCTTGGTAATACAGCAAGGAAAATCAACAGTGATTGCTTTAAAACAATCTACAAACAAACCTACTTTTAAATGAATGTTCTTAATAGACGGTTTCATCTGGGAATAGAATACACAAATTTTCGATGACCTGTAAATTATAAACTTAACATACGGTGTCTAGAGAACAATATGCAAGTTAAGCATATGCCTCAATTCACAAATTATCAGTTTCCTATCCATTTTAATTAGAAATAAACAATACTATTGCAGACTTCAGAAGCAAATGCTTTTTAAATCCTTTTAGAATAGTTGAGAACAACGAATGAAAATTACATGTAAATTCAGTCACAATTTAAAAAATAACTTGTCAACATTTTCCTAAGGATAAGACTAATTCATTAAAAAATATATACAGTCCTGGCTGGTGTGGCTCAGTTGGTTGAGCATCAACCCCTGCACCGAGGGGGCACCCATTCAATTCCAAGTTAGGGCACGTGGCTGGGTTGCGGGATCAATCCCCAGTAGGGGGCATACAGAAGGCAGCTGACACTCTCGATTTCCCTTCCTCTCTTTCTAAAAATATTAATAAAAACATGTTTCTTTTTTTAAAAAGAACACAAATACATTTTGGTCAAAACCATAAATGTGATGTGATAATTAAATGATTCTTCTGAATGTTATAATTCTATGATCCTTGACATCCAAAAGAGGGCAGATGAAAAAAACTGCAAGGACTGATTGAAAGAGTTATATGTGCTTTCTACTATTTGCTATACTTGTATAGATCATGAATGACTGAAAGTAATGCTGGACTATGGTGAGCAAATGGTGGAACGGAGAAATAAATGTGAGAAGTCTTTTGCACGAACAAGCATTCAGGATGGGGACCCTGCGCAGAGAAAGACACACATTACACATACCCCGAAAGAATGATGGCACCTCGATTTACACCAGCCCACGACTTCAGGTTCTTCATACCGACATGTTCTACAAGTGTCTTTGCAAAACAACCTGTAAAATATACTGACACTTAGTGGACATCATATACCAAGATTTAAACCCCCAATCTCCCTCTCTACTGCCCTTAGATCTGTGAGTATGTTTGAATAGAAAAGCTAGTAAAAAGAGTTCTCTCCCAAACACCGCTAAGATGAAAAATTCCTGTTCAGGTTTATATAATGCATTTTTTGTAAAGCCATTTCTTTCAAATCTGATTCAAATCCTAAGCTACGTTAGCAGTAATAACTCAAGAGAAACGCTCACTTGGTCATGTTTGTGCTTCTTTGTTCTACTGAACGACTTAACCCTTACCTGAAAGGTATTCAGGAAGTACATGTTTGACAGCAGCACCTGTGCAACACATGGAATCAATGTGTTCTACTTTTGAATCTTGGCGGGCCTTTATGTCTCACTTAACCAAGGGAGTATGATAAAAATGATGCTAAACAATTCTGAGGCTAAATCACGAAAAAATCACCCACCTACTTTGTTCTTTTAAAACCAAACCCTCCATGCTCTAAGGAAGCCCAAGCAGCAGCCTAGGGAGAGGAACTGAGGCTGTTGGCCTCAGCTGTTGCCAGCTACTATGAAAGTAGATTCCAACCCCTAGCTGAGCAGCACTCTGCACAGAGGAAAAACAAGCTCCTGATCAAACCCTGATCAAATGATTATTTTTTTGAAAACTACTGTTTTGAGGTAACTTATTATACAACAAGAGATAACCAAGACAGCTAGCCACACTCATGTGGTGCTACATGAAAATGACAAACACTTCAGGCATGTGGTAGGGCTCTCAGTGCATTTTGATTAAGAGGAATAAAACTACTAGAAAATTCCTGGACTTTGGAAAAGATGATTCAGTATATTGTTTTTTCTTCAAAATATAAGAAGCTTTTCTCTTCTATAAAAAATTTAGTGAAAAATAGCTCCACGTCTCTATTCTCAAAGGTAGAGTGAGAAGTGACAGCTCTGCTGTATTGACTGCCTTACTAACCATTAGAACTGCAACTTTCCTAAAGACATACATTCATAACCTGTCAGTTTTTTTCAAATACAGTCATAAAAAGCCCAAACTACTTAAGTGAGGAAAGTCTCTTTAGTGGCTAAAATACCAGAGGGAGTTGAATTTACTAAGAGAAGGTCTGGTCAAAGACAGGACTGAGAGGGGAATGGTATGCAACTTTTCGATTAGATAAGAGATGCTGTCCTCCTGGAGAGCTGCATTTCCAGAACAGCCATGAGGTTTATGAAAAACCAATAAATACCAACCACTGGCTTGCTCTTTGGTCACATGTACTTCAATGCCAAATAGACACCAGTTCAAAATTCTCTGATAAGGATAATTTTCTTCTGCATATCCCTTCCTCAAAACTAGAGATAAATACCATGCCTTTCAATTGGGGTAATGATACTCACAAATCCCCTCCTCACCCCCACTGTACTGCTCTCACCATCCTCAAGAAATAGAATGGTGTTTTAGAAAGCTGGCCAAGCCCAGTCAGAATTCTGAAGTAGCAGAGAAAAGAGGAGTAAGAGGGGGAAGCGGGGAAAGAGGAAAAAAATTAAAGGATTCTAGGACACAAATTTCTAGCATTTACTAAAGCAATTCTTGCAACCACTAAATCAGTTCTTATAGGACACTATTTCTGAACACTCAACAAACTCATGTGAACTTGCATGGCTGACAGCAAGTTCAGGGATGCCAAGAATTACTGAAATCTCACTTAGGCTACAACCCAAAGGTTAAGTTTAACAACCTACCTTCTCTTCCGTTTTCTTTCATCTTTTTATCTTGTTCTATTAACCACTTCAGAACAAGGTGTCCTGCGGGATGTTCTGCAATGTGAAGCTAGGAGGCATCAAGAACACATTAATTTATTTCATCCATGCCTTGGCCTACAATCCATTCTACATCACCATATACAGATAAGGACTCAGCCATGTTGAAAGTTCCATAAGGCTTAAGAGATCTTTATCTAGAATGACCATTATACCTGGAGGTCTATCCTAATCCCCAGACTAAAATGAGGACAGTTGTTCAAGACAACACAGCCACTGATAACTGGTTTAGGCTGGGCTTCACGAGTCCCGGTTTAAAAAGCACCCCCAAAAGTTCATCTTGAGATCAAACTCACCACTTTTCAGACTGCGATATGCAGTTATGAGGTACAAATACACCTATGGGACAGAACCCTTTAGCAGAAACATTGAAAACTAATGCTGAATGTTGACATACAGGCATTATCTGATTCCAGCCAAGAAAGCATCTTTTTAGCTCAATCTTACTTTTTCAAGGCCATATCATTGTTCCCACAGTACTTAGGATCTCTCCTTTTGAAGCACGGGAAACAAGGGGCCCAATTTCTTTAAAAAGAAACTTTCACTATGCACGCATCGTCCCTATTTGCTAATATGATCAGCCGTATGAGGGCAGCGGCCTGGGCTTCTCTAAGATCCACAGGCTCCCATATACATCTATCTGTTCATCAGGAACTTATCACCTAGTGCAGGGCAAGGGTCCCGCATGATCTGGCTTCTGCCTTCCTCTCCTCTTTGCTAAGCGATTTCCAACCCCTCCAACCTTCTGTTCTTACACAAGTTGAGCTCCTTCCTTCCTTCAGGCTGCTGCACGTGCTCTTCCCTCTGCCGAGAATCTTCTTTCTACCATTCTTCACTGAGCTACTAATCCTCTGGGTTTAGCTTTCACTGCCCCAGGGAAGCCTTCTTGGGGATAGGATGACTCCCACTTACAATCCCATAGAACCTGTAGTTTTCTTTCACAGCGCTTATTTCAATGTGAAATGATTTTTTTGAAATGATTATTTTTCATTTAAATATTATATTCATGTTCATCAAAATGGTAAGCTTCTGGGGAAGAGGGGCAGCGTTGACCCAAATAAATATAGGCAGAGCCTATCAGAAACAGCAAAGACTTTTTACTAAGAGGGGATTAGGGGAGATGTCACGGAGGATTCTAGGGATCCTGAAGGATGAGAAGGCTTTCTACATGGAAAGCATAGGACCACAGAGATATGGGCAACACTCGAGACTGAGGGAAGAAGCACGGGCAAATGCAAAGAGGTTCAAAAGTCCAGAAAAAAATTCAAAATAGAATTAAGAGCATAGAATACACTGGGAAGACAGCTTGGGGCCAATCATGGATAACAGAGAGACTTATTTTTACTCAGGGTGTCACTGCAAGGCAGTGTTGCAACAGCACTGTTTCGAATTCAGTTTTCAAATGCAATGCTGATATGCAGTGAGTGAGACAGTTATGACTGAAATCTTCCTTGCAGCTTTCCTGCCTGTCTAAGAGCACATTACCTCTCCATCCTTGCCGCCAGGATGCAGTTCTGCTGCTGCCAAGCTGGCGACGGCATTCATGGCAGGTTGAGCGTCTCCAATGGCAGCTCCCAGAATGCAAGGCACCAACACACAGGCAGACTTATCTAGCACCATTTCTTGAGTGTGATCTTGCATTTAGCTTAACAAAGCTGGGGAGATGGATTCTAAGAGCTCTCGGCGCCGGATTTCTGTATCTTTTTTACTGTTGGAATAGGTTGAATGAGTAGTAAGGTGAGATAAATGACAAAGGAAACATGGTGACTGTATTTTCACAAAAACCTCTAAACAATCTGTGGCATACACTACTATATCTTTCTGTTATGCATGTGCATAAGTGATTTGAGGGTGGGATGTGTCTTTCATGCTTGTGTCGTAGGATGTGACTAGCACCTGCACAGAACAAGCACTCAACAAGTGAAGCTTGCCTTATGTAATAATAATAAAAAAAAAACCCTAAACCAATCCAAAAACCAAACGACAACAAAGTATCTTATAAGACAACCCATGTTTACACCATTTTATGAACTCTACTCTCTAGAATACTCAATTATGTGGTACCAGTAGCTTTAAAAAAAAAGCAAAACCAAAACAAATCACACACCTAAGTACCTACTATGTACAAGGGGCTCACAGGCATTCTTCTGGCACAACACTTTTATTTTCAGGATAAAAATGAGTACAGGTTTAAAAATGGAATTCACTTTTTGAGTTTTGGAGAGAGAAGGAGCATGAGAAGGGGCCTGCATGCAGGAGCAGATTTCTGGAAGCAGGCACTACTGAAATTAATAAATCAGAGGACAAAGGGCGCAACCCGCCTACTGTTCTTACCTGTGTGCGTTTCCATCTCCTTTCTGCAGAACTTCAATGATTTCTCGTACTGTATGTGCAGGATCTCGGGGGCTTAGTAGGTACAACAGGACCTTCCTTCCATATTTGTCATTTAATATGTTAGACAAGGAACTAATAATTTCCTGTAAAATTACAGAAACAAAAAAGTGAATCTGTATGCTCAAAGGATGCTTGGAATCTGAATGGCAAAGAAGGATACATACTGAACTATTTCCCCCAACTCACTTAATGGAAAATGTGCAGCTAGCTGTAAAATCGTCTCATTAAAGCACCAGAGATTTACACTCAGAACACAGAACAGATTCTCTGCTGTGACTGGCATTACTGAAAAATCCAAGGAGACTTAAAAATACTTAAAGCAGTTATCTTCAGTCACTATATAACCGATATTACTTAGGCCACCATTACCAGAGCAGATCAGTTAATTTGCAGCTGCACTTAAGTGTAGCATCAGCATCGATGAAGAACATTCTTATTAGAATTTCCCATTGAGATGTATGTGGAGGGAGATAAAGAAACTGTTAAACAAGACAAGTGGATAAAGGCTTTTAAAGTTAGATTGCTCATTCATGGCAAATGAGGGCTACTTAAGAGTCGCACGAGAAAGAAAGGGGAGGGAAACGTGCAAAAAGACTCCACAAAGCAGTTACAAGTAACTACACTCTATGAACAGTAACCTTTTCTAGTTGTATGAATTTAAGAAACAATGGCAATGGCATCCCTATCTCAACTAAGCTCCTGTATAAATTTGCTGTTTTCAAAGACAGAAAATTCACTGTTTAAAAATCCCTTTACACTTAATAGAGAATACACAACAGAAAAATCATCAGCTATTTCCCCCTCTAACATTCCTATTTCATGCCACAAGCCTAACAGATACTCAAAGCCATGTAGGTTTTAGCACCAGATATTCTCGACTGGCTGGGGCCATAGAAAGAATTAGGTCCAATCACGCAGGTTTACAGATGAGGAACCCAGAAAGAGGAGAGTAACTCTGCCACAGGATGTAGAGTATCAGTGGCAGGACTCTGACAAGTTCTGGTCCCTGATTCTAACTCTAGTCTCTTTCAAAGAAAACATAAGCTCTCTATTAAGGAAATGAATTCGCTATGAGATGATATACTCAGATTTGCTATTCTCTTAAGTGCCTATTTATTACAATGAGATCAGTAATTTTAGTGCAAGGAACCAAACTAAAAATTAAGTCAGTCATCACCTCTCCCAAGAAGACATAAAAATGGCCAATATATGAAAAGATGCTCAACTTCACTAGTTATTAGGGAAATGCAAATCAAAACAATGAGATACCACCTTATACCTATCAGAATGGCTACTATTAACAAATAAGTAACATGTGTTGGAGAGGTTATGGTGAAAAAGGGAACCCTCATTCACTGCTGGTAGGAATGTAAAATGGAACAGCCACTATGGAAAACAGTATGGTGGTTCATTAAAAAATTAAGACTAGAGTTACCATATGAACCAGCAATCCCTCTTCTGGGTACCTACCTGAAAAATTTGAAAATATTTATTCATAAAGATATATGCCCTATGTTCATTATAGCATTATTCACAGTGGCCAAGATATGGAAACAATCAAGGTGTCCTTCAATAGATGACTGGATAAAGATGTGGTACATATATATAATGAAATACTACTCAGCCATAAGAAAAGATGAAACACTGCCATTTGTGACACCATGGATGGATTGTGAGAATATCATGCTAGCGAAGTAGGTCAGATGGAAAAAGTAAAAAAAAAAACCCATATGATTTCACTCATATGTGGTCATAAAACTGAAAGTGACAAATGAACAAATGAGTAAAAATTCATAGACACAGACATTAATATGGTGGTTAACAGAGGAAAAGGGGGTGAGGGGATGGAAAAAGAGTAAAAGGGGTCAAACATATGGTGACAAAAGGAGATTTGACTTTGGGGGTGAACATACAATGCACTATACAGAAGATGTATTACAGAACTGTATACTTGAAACCTATGTAATTTTATTAGTCCATGTCACACCAATAAATTTAATTAAAAATAAAATAATCTTAAAAAGAAAAAAATTAAGTTAGTCATCAACTATGGGATCATGATACAGCAAAGTCCATGACCCCGAGGTTGATGACACAAACCCAGATTCCAGACACATTTTCTCTTTTTAAATTCTCAAACATATCTCGTTTCCTGCACAAAAGTATACTGTGCTTCCTGTAAGTAGTAAGAGCAGCTAAACACTTAAGTACTCACTAAGAACCAGACCTTATCTGAGAGCGCCATGTCCATCATCTTAAACACTCTTCACAGCATGATGGATGACAAAGGTACTGTAGCTTACTTTCATTTTACATGTAAGAAGCCCAAGGTTTAAACAAGTAAGGTGACTTAACGTAGAGAAGTAAAGGTCACACATCCAGGACATGATCGCCTCTTTCCCTGACTCTAAACCCCACTCTGCTTTTCTACTTTTGAAGTTTAAGGTCATGTATAAAGATTTCCCTATACAACATAAAGGTTTCCAGAGAACAGGTGCAATAGACCTAACCACCTCAAAAAGAATAGAAATTTCAACCATTCAAGGAAAATGAACAAAAATCTCAGTAAAAAGGGCAAGACAAAACAAAATTGTACACTTCACAGAAGAGGGAGCTCTTTTGTAATTTCAAGGTAAACAAGACCCAAAGTGGATTCAACATATGCATTAAAAAAAAAAAAAAATCCTCACCTAAGGACATGCTTTTATTGATTTTAGAGAGAGGAAGGGAGAGAGAGAGAGAGAAAAACATCGATTGTTTGTCTCCCACACACCCTGACTGGGGTTCAAACTCACAAGCTGGGTATGTGCTCTGACCAGGAATGAAACCTTTGATCCTTCGTTGCCCGGGAAGACACTCCAAACAATTGAGCCACACAGATCAGGGCTCAAAATACGCATTTTTGATAATGAAGCATTTAGTGCCACAAATATAGGCTACCATTAGTATGGATTTTCCTATTTAAAGTTTAACCAACCAACTCATGAGAGGAAAGATGCTTTAACTTGCTGAAAGAAGAGAGTGAGGATACACAGCTTAGGCCAATTTCTGTAATCATTTATTGGTAAAAACCCCACAACCTTGCTGTCCTAAAATACTATTGGCTATAATCCCTTTAAAACAGTTGCTTAAAAAATAAATAAATAAAACACATACACACAAAACAAAAACTCAAAATGGGTGAAGTATTCAGTGAAGAAATATAAATGGCTGCTATTATTCCTCAGTGTACTTACTTTCTCTGTGGGTTTCACACTTAAGGACTAGGGTAATATACATAGACGTGGGCAGAAAAGCTTTCACTTCAACAAGAGAAGCTTAATTCCATGTACAAACACTATTCAAGGACTAGTGCCCAAACTCATTGCCTTTCAGTTTGTAATTTAGGAATTGAGAATCTAAAGTTATGTTTGTTTGAGTGTGAAATCACTTAATTCTCCTCGATCTCACCCTCATTCCAGCTTTCCTACCAAAAAAACATATATCTAAAAGGAAACGGTATGAGTGCTGTCATATTAGAGCACTAATTCATTTCTCTTTAACCTAGTTAGAAAGAGGAAATTTCTAGCGAGGAGAGCACTAATGAGTATAGTACATGTAGAATTAGGTAAGAAGAACCAGTCAACTATTGCAACTATTGGTATCGTTGACTTTTTGCTGAACTCAGTCTTTAAGCTCAAGCAGAGTAGCCTTTGGCAAATCTTTTAACCTCCCCACACATCAATTCCCTTATCTATAAAAGGAAATGATGCACCTGCCTGACTTGTGGGCCATTACCAGGAGCAAAGCTGAAAATTAAACGGCAAATGGCTATAAAGTGATATTTTTTTTTTTATTACACAATGCAATAGGCTCTGCAGTGGTTCGGTGGGATGGACATGTGACTCTATACACACATGTGCAGCATATTTGGCAACCCAGCAATTTTGCTAAGTAAATGACTTAGAGAAACAAGGAGACATACAAGAATGCTCATAGAATTATTTGGAATAGCAAAAAAATAGTGAGTTTTTAAAGTTTTAAAAATTGTAAATAATCTGAATGTCCATCTACAGAAAATTGAAGAATAAACTGCAGTATATTCATAGTAAAATACAATTTGGCATTGAAACAGAAATGATTTAGAACAGGGGTGGGCAAACAAAGGCCCATGAGTCAACCTGCAGCCTATTTTTGTACATCCTACAAGTTAAGAATGGTCTTTACATTTTAAAGGGTTGTTAAAGAATAAAAACAAAATAAACGGGCAGCAGAGATCATATATATCCCACAAAGACTAAAATACTATCTGGCCCTTTTAAAAAGGGCTTGCCAACTCCTGATGATGAATTCCACAAACATAATATCAAAAAAAAAGCAAGTTACATAAGAAAATATACATAATATTACTGACATGGAATCTGTAAACATGCAAAATAGTATTATATACATCTACATATAGCAAAAGGATAAGGAAATGTATGTGAATAATAAACACAAAATCCATCACCATAGGTGAGGGTGAGGGTGGATATGCAATCATGGACAGGTACACAAAGGGCTTGAACTTTTACTGTATTTGTCAAGTTTCACTTCTTTATCAGATAGTAGGTGGCTGAATATCTACTGTATAATTCCTTACACTTTTCTGTATGTTTTAATAATAATATATTTCCTTTTCTGAGAAACACTGCTGTCAAAGCAGCTGCATCATACCAACAATTCCATGGTAAAATGGATAAAATTGTATAGGTATGTTTATTTTGGAAAGTAAAGTAGGTGGGAAACAGTGTGTATCTATCTTTTTAGAATGTTTTTTATTGATATTTTTAAGGGAGAGAAGCATCGATGCGAGGAGAAACATTGATTGGCTGCCTCCCTTATGCACCCGGACCCACGGAACCCAAAACCTGGGCATGTGCCCCGATGGGGAAATGAACCGGCAATCTTTTGATGCATTGGATGACACTAAACCAACTGTGCCACACTGGCCAGGGCAGTGTGTGTATCCAGTTAGAAAGGTGAGGGCTCAGCTGACCAGTCTGTTATATCAACATGGTATTTCAGGAAGTCTGGCTACCCTGAAGAGAATTCTTAGCAACACTAAGCTTTCTTGTGTATTTTGAAAAAGAACTGCATACTGCAACAGGTTTTCTGGTAGATCGATGGGGAAAATGCAAGAGCAATTAGCATTCCAGGATTTTATCACCAGCTACATAGTGTAATGACACACAGGAGCTGTTGAGCATTTGTCAGCTAGAGGCAAGAGATCAGTAAATCAGGCCATTCTCGGAAAGCTGCCCTGAGTATGAGAAAGTCATTAGGAATGTGGGTTAAGTAGTGGTGGGAATCAATCTGATAAGCACAAGGAATTAAAACTGTTTCAACAGCAACTTTAAGTGGGCTAAATCTTTGGAAAATATCCAGCAGACAAATTGTGGCAAATCTTGAAGGAAGTATAGTTTCTCTTGAAATCTATCTGGAACAATTATGCAGATTTTACTTGTCCTGAAAATATTAAACAAAAGCAAACTTTGAATAGCCCAGCCTGTTTCCATTTTCATGAAACAACTTTGTTCATTAAAAAATCTATGGCCTCACATCACTGTCACTGGAATGAAAAACAATCATTATTGACTGGAGTCAAAAGGGTAATAAAGATACAAGGAACATGTCAAAAAACTCAGTTTGTGACATGAAAGTCTTGCCAAATGGTTTCTTCCCACAATCTTATCCCAAAGAAAGTCATCACAATCTTAAAACAGTCAAGGGGAAAGTTGGAAAATGACAGCCAGGGCATGAGAAACTCCCACACACTGGGACCTACAGCTGGCATCTAAGAAAAATCTCCTTCCCCTCTGCTAGCTGATACATTTTCCCCTACACCCAGCTCTACTGGTCTAGACAGGCTACAGAGAGAGGCCACAGCACTGCCACATGCCAACAGGTAAAGTCTCTTTCTGAACCCCATCTGCTTCTCTCTGCAGTTGGCATGAAAGTAGTTTTTGTCACTGAGATTTCTCCAAAGGCCCCATCCATGGTATCAAAGAGAAACGTTTGTGTAATTTTCAGATGAATATTTCTATACAGATTATGTGTTTTTTTCAATGTACCCAAGTTTTGTCCCTGCAACCAATGCTGCTATTTCTTAACCATACCCCTGCAACCTCTATTACATATCCAACACTACCTGCACACTATAAATAAGGAAGGGAAGAGGAGAGCACAGATTCAGAAGTCAATCATTGCAGAATGAAGAAAATGATTTTGGAATGCAGTTTTTACTTTGGAGTAGTACTTTCAAGAGGACAGCTGTTTTTCTGAAGGAAAATTTAGGGTTAAATAAATTGCATTCAATTATTACTTTATGGTCATTATACTAGGCTAGAAGGAATTGCTGAAATGTAAAAAGGAAGCTAGTATTTTCATTTTAGTAATAATTTTTAATCTGACTCTACAAAAACTTTGAAAGCTCTAGGAAGGATCACAATTGAGTTTTATCAGATTTGCTTCTCCAGCTCAATCAGGACAGATGTATTGACAGGCTGGGTAACTGTGCAGTGGTAGTTTCTCCACAGGGAGAGGGAGAAAGGTCACAGGTGTCCTCTGCCTGGATATGAGCTCCTGAATAATTGAAGAATTACTATGTCAACGAATTTCTAATCAAATCTAAGCACTGCTTTGCTAAATTTTCATTTAATATATCATATGGTCTAAAAAGTCATGTTATCCTAATTTAACCATTATTTTACATATTTAAAACAATAATTATTAATATCAAGTTACTAGATTATGGTTTATACAGGAATAAAGCAAATCCCCATTAGAGATTTAATGTCAACTAATAAATAATGAAATACCATCAAGGAACAAATAATTCCAAGTCTTTACACATATATGTGAAATAACACTTACAAATCCACAAATGATATATCAATGTAACTTAAATTCAAGACCATGATAATTACTTACAGATATGATTATCTGCTTCACAAGCTTAGTATCATCAATACAATCAAACGCCGCCAGTAAAACCAAATGGGAGTATTGGCCCTGTAAGAATCGAAAACCAGGAAAGGTTAAAAAAATTCGTAGCTTACCCTTTTATTCCACCTCTGGAGTCACTTTATAAAGGTGGTAACCTGCACAACGTAATACAAATAAGAGGGATAAAAGCCATTCAAAGGAATTCTTATCAGGACCTAGTTAATAATATTCTAGGTTGATTTTTAAAAAAGAAAAACAAACAGAAAAGCACATTCTTCAATATCAAATAGCCTGGACTCATTACATCTTTCAAAAATAGGTACTCTGTTAATGAATACCTACTAAAAAAAATTAAACTAAAAAAGAAATGCAATAGGTTTAAAAAAAACCAAGAATATAAAACATATAACACTATTATATAAACCCAAATATAATTATACATATACAAAGTATAGAAAATACATGTATACAGAAAATCCTAGAACATTATAATGTAATAGTCACCTCTGGGTTGAAGGATAAAAACTTTTCATTTTCCTTTATATATTGTCCAATTTCTTTAAAATAATTCTATATAATTAGACTAGAAATACTAAAAATAAACTAGAAGAATATACTTATATAGTGAATGAGAAATAAAAATAATTGTGTTTAAAAAGTATAACAGCAAGAGATCATACAAATACACACTGTGAATTTCACAATGTCCACCTCTTGAACCGACAGAATTATTCCAGGATGCTGATATAGTTCCAAAGAGTTAAAGAACTACTTTATAAAAAAGAAGAAAGTGCATTCAGAGTTTGAGACCTATTCTTCTTGTATTCTAGATAGTATGAACCTTTTTTTACTTTGAGAGGGCATTTGACTTTGACAACCCTCTTCAGAGCCAGGTCTGATGAGTATGGCAAATAATAACATTTCAGTTAGACAAATAACAAAGGTCTAACACCTTTACTATATAAAGACCAACAATCTACTAAAAATGGGCAAAGAAAATGAAGAGTCAGTTCACTGAAAAAGAAATACAAATGGCTCTAAGCATATGAAATAATGCTCATTAATTAAAGGCAATAATTAAAACAATAAAATATCATTTTCCACCTATTCTATAGGCAGAAGTGAAAATCCTTGATAATATACTAACTTGGCAAAGGTCTGGAGAAAAGCAAGCACACTTTTATGTTGTTGGTGAGAATGCAAAGTAGTTCCAACTATTTTGGAGGGCAACTGACAATATCTAAAAAACTTAAAGTGCATGTACTTTCTGACTCATCAACTCTAGTTCTAGAATTATCTTGTAGCCATGCTTCCACATATGCACAGTGGACATGCACTGGAGTACTATTTGAAATAACAAAAAACTAGGAACTACCTAAGCGTCCAATAGTAGGGACTGGTTAAATAAATTATGAAACTCATATAATGAAATATTATGAAGTCATAAAAAAGGTGAGGTAGATGTACATATATGTATGTTGAAATAAAATAACCCCTGAGACAAATTAAGTGAAGGAAACAAAGTAGAGAACAATGTGCATATAGCACACAAGCTTTGGTTTCTGATTTTTTTAAGTCTGACACACAGGAACATGCCCAAGCACAAAACATCTGAGTGAATACAAAAATAGCTGGTACAGAATTGAAGTGAGAAACAGACAATTCACAATTACAGTTGGAGATTTTAAGGCTTCTTTTAGTAACTCATAGAACAATGATAAATAAATTAGTAAAGACTTTGATTATCTGAACACTATCAACCACTTTGATCTAATTGACATTAATAGAGTACTATACCCTATAACTCCACAAAACACTTTCCTTTCAAGATACCAAGATAGACCATGTTAGGCCATAAAATAAGTATTTAGAAAAGGATTAAAATAATAGAGTATGTCAGGAAACCCCCAATATTTGGAAATGACACACTTCTAAACAATCCGTAAGTCAAATCCATGGGTTGTATTAATTTAACTCCCCCCTTAGAAGGAACTTCTTGAGATAAAAAATACATTGCATTGTTAATTTCTTGTTACCATTACAATGCCTTGCGGGCATTAGTTTCTTGAAAAAATTTGTTGTTAAAAATAAACATGAAGTTAAAATAATCTAATTTTATTACTTAAAAATATCTTTTACAACTAATACTTTTTAGAACTTTCTACTAACATCATGTTTATACTTATTTCTAATTTAAAATATTCAAACTAAAATGTTATACAAAAAGACTTACTTGATGATGAATAATCCTAGCTAATAAAAGACAAAAGGGTAATTGACCGTACCTTCACTACGCTTCTCATTGGCCAATCAGGGCAATATGCAAATTAACTGCCAACAAAGATGGCGGTTAATTTGCATACTAGGCTCCAACAAGCGACGGAGCAAAGCCCGCTGGCCCCCGGGAGGAGCAGCGAGCGAAGGCCGATGTGGCGAGCGAAGAGCTAAGCCTGCCACGCCGGCCCCACCCCCTGGGCCCGAGCAGCGAAGAGTGAAGCCTGCCATGCCGGCCCCTCCCAGCGAAGAGCGAAGGCCTGGGTTCCAGGTGCCAGAGGAAAACTGGTGCCAGCAGCCAAGGGAAGGGAAGGCCTATTGCACGAATCTCTTCGTGCAATAGGCCTCTAGTAAATCATAAAATATTCTTATACTCTGATACAACCCACTAGAGAATCTTATTTCATTTTGTTACAGAAAAGTTAGCTGCCTTTTAAGTGGTTTTATACTCTCCTCCTGGTCTCCAATCCTACAGAAGACAACAGGTATGTATTCATTCACACAGCAGCAAATGTGCTTGAATTAGTATTTACTACATTAAGATGCTAGTAGTTCTCATTAGATTTTTCATAGGAAAAAGTTGTTGATAATACAAATTTTAGTTCTCCAATAAATAAGAGGTTATAAAACATAATATAATAACTCAAAAAATGTTATAGTATTTGCTACTACAAATACAGGGTGGGCAAAAGTAAGTTTATATAGTTGTCAGTATGCAAAACATTAATGAGGTCATTAGGGCCTCACAAAAACTTTATACATCCTCTAATTCACCAGGAAAGCTGTTACACCTCCAAAGGATTCCAAAGAACTGAAAACTTAACTAGAATTTATTCTAGGCAGCAATTTCCATGTGTAATTAATATGATTGAACAAATTCACTAAATAATGTAGCAAATATCAAGTCTTCGAAAAGTATCTAATAAAAGTGGAAAATTTGTCACTATGCAATGTTAAATAAAGGTGAAATCTCATTTTGTGTAAGTTTAATATATAAAAATGCATGCAAATGCATAGAATAAGATTGTAATAAAATAAAGAATAAATTTCTTGGTCATTTTCTTAAATTTTCAAATTTTCTATAATAAACATGGTTTCATTTTATTAACAATTAAAAGAAATATTATTGCCGAAACCGGTTTGGCTCAGTGGATAGAGTGTCGGCCTGCGGACTGAAGGGTCCCGGGTTCGATCCAGGTCAAGGGCATGTACCTGGGTTGCGGGCACATCCCCAGTAGGAGATGTGCAGGAGGCAGCTGATCGATGTTTCTCTCTCATCGATGTTTCTGGCTCTCTGTCCCTCTCCCTTCCTCTCTGTAAAAAATCAATAAAATATATTTAAAAAAAAAAAAAAGAAATATTATTATACTTACATTAGCCACCTTTTCAACATAAGTCTTCATTGTTTTCACAATCACTTTCCTGTCCTAAAAAAAAAAAAAAAATCTCAACTTTTAATTATAGATTTAAGGTATTTCATAGATAAAATTTTGATTTAATATTAAGTTGTCATTGGAGTGGCTTTATACTATCCTCTGGTCTCCAAGTATTTTCATTAGTAAAAATAGTTATACAGTCAGAACAAAAAAATTTGCAATATATTAGCCCTTTCAGAGCTATTAGGATCTTACATTTGTATGTGATATCCATTCAGACATAAATATGAGCCATAAAATTATCAGTTGCAAGACTAACCTAGTAAAATGACCTTCTTTTACAGTGAGAAATGAGAGATCTCTCTTCCAATGTCTGAACAGTCTTCAAATATATAGTCTATGGCATTCAATACATATTTGTTGAAATTAAATTTGTATTAATGTAAAAAGTGGACAAAGTACAACTGTCTTTTAAAGGCAGAATTATACTGATCAAAGAAATGAGAATCAGTTCTGTTAAACTTCTGTAGTTAATATGGACTTTTCCCTCAAAATACTTAACATCTTTATGAGCAAATGTGTAACTGTTCATTATCTCCTCCTCCTGCTTCCTCTCCTATTAAGATAAACAAATATTGTATTGATCTGATTGACAGATCCCTTCTCAAATAATGACCACTCAAGATTTTCACACTTTACTGAAAACTCCAGCAGTGAAAAAAATTGTTATAAATAAAGTATAAAGTTAAAATAATCTGACTTTACTACTTAAAAATGTCTTACTACTACTACCTTTTAGAACTAGGCGCAAAGGCCAATTCCTGTGAGGCCCTGAGGCACAACTTTGTAAAGATAAGCAGTTTATGCACAACGTAAGACCTAAGGAGACAGAAAGTCTGAGGAAAGGCAGGTCAAGCCCTACACTTACCTTGGGCGTTCCATGCCACAGGCAGTGCATGGCCACTCTGGCACCATCGTGTGTGTGCGCCAGGTACACCACCGCCTCGCGGATGGCTTCGATCATTTCCTGGGGAACAAATGCCATCAAGGCTTTAGTTTATGCTTTCTTTCTGCCTTTAAAACTAATCTGTCTACTAGGGAGCAGTTAAGCGCAGAGAATGAAAAAGATTATAGGTAGCAAACAATTTAATTTTTCATTTTGTAGACAAGCACATGCATATATACCATCTTTCTAGGAATATTCTTTTCCATCAGGAGTGACAAATACTGCTGACAAGCAATTTCTATTAAAATACACTTCTATTTTATCAAATATGTCTATATTAAAAGACAATGTCTATCTAAAGAAGAATGCATATATACAATATATTCTAAATGATTTTTTAAGAAAAAGAAGGCTAGGAAGTGGCTATGGTAAAAAGAAAAGCCAGATAAAATAAATAAAGAAAATGCTGTTTCCTAAAAGGGAAGAGAACCAAAACACTAATTTGGCCTAAAAAGTTTCTCTTTTTTAGTTTATCACTGGATTACTTCCAAGAAATCACATTAATAATTCACCATAAAAACACTAAACAACATTTCCCTAATAAAATTAATCTCTGTATTAGACTAGGCCAACACTATCAATGACTCTTTAGTAAAAAACCAATTGTTACTTTCTTATAAGGTAGTCTGGCTTAAATTATATTTTGGAATTATAGATGTGAATGAGTTCTGGCAGTTAACAATTGCAGGGCCCCATTTTAGCCCATTCCCAGTGAAAAAATTTATATTAAATAAATAAGTACAAAGTCTCCTGCAAGGAGAGAGGAAGGTAGGTGCCTATTTTCTTCAATAAGGAACAAGCAATTCCATCCTTAATTATCTTACAATCCTTACCCAGGATGAATCTCAACAGCACAGCTTTCAACTTATGTACCTAAACTTATGAATCTCTTCAAAGCTCTCCAGCTGGAGAGCTATACATATATTCCAATTATGCTTCCACTATCCCCAAAGGGTTTTTTTGTCTCTCTTTTGAAAATGCCCCCAGGGCCAGAAAAGAGTTGCCTCATCACTTTATATTGACACTGGGTTCTCAATGATTGTTTTTGCTATTACTAAAACACATTTAACACTAAAAAGAAAGATTTTCCACCACTGAATGTATTGAAATGATCATTTTCCAGTTCTGAAAACAGTCCTGCCCCAGTACATCTAGAACTGTGAGATACTGTGCTCTGCAGGGGCGGGAGAGAATTCCCCCAAAGAGAAGCAGCAGCTGCTATGGTCACCGAGCCACAAGCTCAGGTGGGTGGTTATTCTTGGGAAATTATTTTGTATGTCAATTTCCGGCAGGTCAAAATTCCTATAACTGTTTAGTCTGGCATATGTGTTAGGAAGTCAGTGTTACTACTTTAGTGATCCCTTATTATTAGGATGAGGACAGACAATGAGCTCACTGTATGGTGAGGCAAGCAAAATTCAGGGGACTAAACGATGAATTCTCATTTGTATTCCCATCACTGAATTGAAGGGCAGTGCAATTTACCTTTAGTCTCTGTTTGTTTTCTATCACATGAGGTCCAATTTTTTATGGTTCATTTAGTTTTACATAATTGTCCTCCTCTAACCTTTTTCCCTCTCTAATCTGTTAACACCAACGTAATTTTTTTGGTATTGGTACAGGTGAATTTCAAACTACTTGAATATTCCTCTATTTGTTAGTTAATTTTTAAATTAGGTTAGCTAGAGGATACTCTGGATTATAATTAAAATATAAAAATTAAATGGAGTTGATAAAACTATGATCAATTCTATTGCCTTCTGGTAAAAATCTAAAGGCAATTAGCAGAGCTGATTAAAGGAAGTTTACTGCATTATCTTCTCTAAACAAGTAGCTCTTCAAAATTCCCAAAAGACAATGTATATCAAAGCAGTATTTTACATATTAACATGGCTCTTCTATGTTTTGGTCTAAAAACTAAAACCAAGAACTTACTGATCTTAGCTTTGGGGGCGCATAGGTAAAAAAGTCCAAGAACACTTTATGCACCAATGAGTGCTTAATCACAGCTTCCCTGGAAATAGAAAAAAGGGAAAAGAGAATACATCAGATCTGCCGCTACACTAATACTGTCATAGTAACCTCAGTTGTCCTAAAATAATCAAAGCAAGTGAAATGGTTTTAGGGAATTTAATTCATCAAAAGACAGATTATATCTTTCAGCAATATTAAGATTAAAAAAATAACGTTTAGCCCTAGCCGGTTTTGCTCAGTGGTTAGAGTGTCGGGCTGTGAACTGGAGGGTCCCAGGTTCGATTCCCAGTCAGGGCACATGCCCGGGTTGCGGGCTCAATGCCCAGCATGGGGCATGCAAAAGGCAGCCCATCAATGATTCTCTCTCATCACTGATGTTTCTCTCTCTCTCTCCTTCTCCCTCCCTCTCTGAAATCAATAAAAATATATTTTTAAAAAAACCTTTTAGATTATAGAAATATTTTAGTGCTTACCATCTATGATCAAAACCAGGATACAGATTGCTAGTATTTAACCAGCAGATGAAATCATTCAAAATACACTCTCTTAAATAAGAACATCTATATTCTTTACCCAACAATGGGCACATGATTATAAACCTATTTTCTTTTTGTCAAGCACCCTTCACAATGCATCAGTTTCATAAAATAATTTCAGCAAAGTTAAAACCCAAGTAGATCAAAACATTACCAGCAACTGCCAACACCTAATTGACCCAGACTTCCTAGTGTGACACTTGGTGAATTCAGGTGTTACAGTGGAGGCTGATGATCAGGCACCAACAACTTCAAGTTCACATTGAGTGTTTAAATAGACAGCAGAAACATATTGCTTTTAGGGGCAAAGCACTGTTCTGAGTATTCTGGAAATATCAACCCATATTCATGAAAATCTATAAAATATGTACTATTATTATCCCAATTTTATAGATATGGAAACTGAGGCACAGAAAGGTTAAGTTGCCCAAGGTCACATAGTTAGTGATTGAGGGGGCACCAGGATTCACACCCAGGCCATCTGGTCTGCGGCTACATCTTAATCCCTCCACCATGGTCCAAATGCCCAATTTCTAAGTCTTATAATCCAAATGAAATAACATCATATTTGGAAAACTATCCATCATTCTATGCAAGGGCTATACAAAACTTTCCTCCTTCAAATGCTATTTGTTAAGAAAACAACAACAGCTTTCTTACTTTTGGGCCATTGGAGTTAGAATCTGTTTCATTTCATCCATGATAAGCTCCAGTTTTTCCGGCTGTACCTTTAACACTTTGTCCAGAGTTGGGTGATCTGCTGACTGCAACAGAAAAAAAATTAAAGTCCTCTAAACTTAATGGCGTTTCTTCAGCTTCATAGCAAAGAAAACCAATAACACTCACTTAAATATACTTAAAGTTTCAGACATCCCATATTCATATAACAAAAGCCCTGCTGTAGATACACTTGTAGAGTAATTCTTGATGATCTCATTCTCAGTGTGTACACCCACCAATGTACTTACAAGAGCCATGCTAACCAACCAACTCAACAGCCAATAGGTACTTGTCAAGCACCTAGCACATGCCTAATCACAAAATCAAGTAGTCAGCTGAAAATCCTTGCCAACATGTGTTTTGTACTCACCTACAGTGACAGTTACAAAAGAAATAAAGCACTAAATTCAATCCAGGACTTGAACCTGACTGGTAGAGGCAACCCAGGAATTAATCCATATCCCTGGAGGTGAGTGTGGGCATTTATGTCCCAAGTCTGGAATAGATCCTTTAAATGTCCTATTCACATTCCTGGCCTTTTCCAGATTCAATCCCTGTGACTATATCCAACGTTGGGCCTCTCTACTCCCATTCCTCTCTAGATACAACCTGGAGAAAAGTAATCCACACACATGAAGAAACACAGGAAAAGGCAGCAACTGGGAGCCCAATGCACTTTGGCCAGAAGCTTCACTTCTGTTAAGAGTCTTGTACCTCGGTCTATCTGACTGCAGAAATGGAAGTACTGAAGTATTACACACGGCACTTGGGAGGGAGTAACGACAGTAGTTCAATTTAAAGGGGATTTAAAAATAGTGCTCCGGGTGAAAGAGAAAGTATAATCACTTGTTCACTATACTGGAGACAAAATAATTCATAAAAAAAAAAAGGGTCTTTTAAGATGGTCTCTTGAAGGACCAGCCAAAGTAAAAATACAGTTTGAAAACAGGGCATCAGAAGGTAACAGCTCACAGGAAAAGCAAAAACGCTAGAAAAATGCTTTGAAGTGCTACCTTGTAAAGCTGAAATGTGTTCCCATAGAGCTCCTCTGTCAACATGTTTCTCTGCTCTAAAATGGCTTTGTCGTTGTATGCGTACTCCACGATGGCTGAGGCTTCCGCGTGTCGGAGCATCTTTCTCACGTGGCCTTTAAAACTTCTGATTATCTCTGCAATCTGCGGTTTACCCCTAAACCCGATGAGATAATGGGAAAAGGTAAGTGACACAGGAGAAGGCTGGGTAACAACAAAACATGACTTGACACCAGCATAACTCCTGAGACCAACTCGTCATGAGGGCTGAGGGGTGTCTACCACAGAGAAATGTTGATGGGAAAGAAAATCAAACTGCCTTGTATTTCTACCTCAAGCGTCTAAGTTACTCAGCAGCCAAAACCTGGTTCTGCTTATCAGCTGCAAGACCCTGAACAAGTTATTTAACCTCTCTGTGCCACAGCTTTTTCATTCATAAAATAGAAAGAATAATGTTAATGTGAGGATTAAATGAGCTAAGATGTACTGAGAACTATGACCAGCTCGTAATAAGTGCTCAATAAATGTCAGTTCCCATTAAATTATTCAGCTTGAGAAAAGTAGGGAAAGAGAAAAGGGGAAGGTAAAAGTCAAAGATGCATAGAAATAGGAATAAAACATATTCTAAGGATGCTCTTTTAAAACAGAAGTTAATCACAGTATTTATATTACATCCTAAAATCAAGCAGCTGATAATTATAGTCAGGAATAGCTGTTGAAAATTTTGTCAACAGTACTTTTTTGTTGTTCATTAACATATTTTGGCACATTATTATACTCAGAAAGAGAAATCAAGACAAATATCAATTCCACCTAATTCAAGAAATCCTCCCATCTTGACATTTCTTCATCTTATTATTTTTTTAATTCTTACTCCAAGATATTTTTGCATTGATTTTTAGAGAGAATGGGAGAGAGAGGGAAAGACAGAGAGAAATGTCGACGTGAGAGAAACACATTGGTTAGTTGCCTCCTGCATGTGCCCCAGCCAAGGCCAGGGCTGGGGAGGAGCCTGCAACCGAGATACCTGTCCTTGACCGGAATCAAACCCAGGACCTTTTGGTCCACAGGCTGATGCTCTATCCTCAGCCAAACCGGCTTGGGCCCATCTTGACATTTCTTGACCCACTGGCTCTGCCTCTGTGGTACTCACCTGCACCTCCCAACCCTCTCCCCTCTAAATACTGGTAACAAATTACAAGTTAATTATCCTACTTCTCTTCTTCTAGGGTTTCAAAATATATACTAAGAATGGTGAAGGCAGTGCCATCAGTTTACATCAATTTCAGTATTTGTTTTTAAGATCACACTCCCTGGAAACATTACAAGCAACTGTTGAGGGTCATTCTTATGGTCACAGACTTTCAAGTAACATTTGCACACAACTGGCACCCACATCTTTAAAAAACTAATATAAATAGATTTTATAAATAAAACAACTCACCCATACATGAGAAATTTCTTAACAATATTTCTGGAATATTTAGCTTTACTTAATTCAACCAAATCATCTGGAAAACAAAATATATTACAATGACTCCTTAGAAACAAAGAACTAAATAAATGCATAATCCTGGGAATATAAACAACTAGCCCTCTGTCTATCCCAGGCAAAGAACAAATAAAAATTTAAACAGTCCTATAGAGGACACACTGCTTTCCCCCAACAGAATTCTTTTGCAGGACAGTCTTGGGTAGTTCAAGAGAAAACAAGTGACTCATTACAAATGATTAAAATTAATCTTCAAAATATAAGAAATACCTCGTAGTTCTTCAAAAGCCTGTTTTCTCTGTTCTTCATTGCCAAACTGAATGTAACACTGGATCACACGAGTTGAATCATGTGCAAATGCAATCTGTAGGAAAGACAGTTTGGGCCTTTAGACTAATTCTCTCTGAGATTTATGTTTCTATCATCCTATCTTATCATATATAATAAAAGGCTAATATGCAAATCGACTGAACAGCAGAACAACCGGTCACTATGATGCACACTGATCACCAGGGGGCAGACGTTCAACGCAGAAGCTGGCCCCTGGTGGTCAGTGTGCTCTCACGGGAGGAGCAATGCTCAGCCAGAAGCTGGGCTCATGGCTGGCGAGCACAGCGGTGGTGGCGGGGGCCTCTCCTGCCGGCTTAAGCCATCAGTCAGACATCCCCTGAGGGCTCCCAGATTGTGAGAGGGCGCAGGCCGGGCTGAGGGACCCTCCTACCCCCGAGTGCACGAATTTCATGCACCAGGCCTCTCGTATTATTTATGTTTTATTACTATCGCTTTCAGAATTCCTTGCTAGATAAAAGGCAGGGTCTCCATGGATAAAATTAAATCTAAGCTACTGGGGAGTAAAAATACCCATTTTAATGGTACAAAATGGCATTCTTTGGTTCTGCTGCCTAAAATACAGCACTGAGACAGGAACAGATTTAACTATTTTGCAAGATTCCAATCATTATTATTTAAAACCAAAAATCAAAGCAAACCTGTCTAATGATTATACATACCATATTTCTCATTCTCTGAAAGTTACTTTCCCTAAAAGGGAATTTTCTTATTCAAAAATTCTATTCCTTTATGATCTTTTTAAATCTAAGAAAGTTTGGCTTTGGCAACCAAAGATATAGATCTAAAAGAAGTCTTGCTACACAAGTCAATACACACATTGGTAATCGTAAGTTAATCCCTCCATTTCTTACATTTTTATTATGATTTCCTGAATATATATCAAATTATATTCCTAGAAATTTGTTGTATTTCAAATCTAATTCCCCAACCTACTCCCTCATCACAACTACTGGATAGATTAGGTCCTCAATGAAGGGAGGACTTGCTGATCAATTTTCTATAGCAACAACTATCAGTTATGCAAAATTATTTTTTACTATGATATAGTACCTGTCTACTTTAATAGTGCTTATTAGTTGCTCAATCTGTTTTAATTCCAATAAATCAGAAGGTGAAGGTACACACCCATCAAAGCCACAGATTTCAGAAGAATTTCCTTAAAGGATATTTATATAGACATTAATGATTAAAACCAAAACAATTTTTAAAAAATAAGGCCGCTTTTGTACATATATTGATTACTTACTACATACCCAATATACATGGTTTAAATATATTTTTCTCATTTAGACCTCAAAGCAACCTTAAGAGTGGGCTGTTGCTATTCCCACTTTATAGATGAGAAAAATAAATGTATGAGACATTAAGGAACCTGCAATCCCTGTGACCCTGGAGATGAAAGTTAACTTGTCTGAGTCTCAGATGTATGAAATGTCTCATAGTGATAATAACGTTAAGGTAAAGGAGGCAACATATGCATTAGTTAGCACAACTCCTAGCACACAGTACATAATAAATATGTTGTAATTGTCCAAAGGTACAGATGCTAAGCAGCAGAGTGAATTCAACACCAGATTTAAACACCCACGTCCATGGGCATGTACTAATAACCTAAGAGTAACTGGGAAAGGATCCTGAGTGTAAAATGTTTATAAATAGAGGATAACAGACTGCTGGAGCAGAGAAACAGTTCTTTCTAAAAAGATCTTGCCAGATGTATAAGGAAGCAGCAGCGGGGAACTTTCCTTCTAACTGCAATGTAGCCTGTTAGACCTCTGTACATGGTTTGGCACATGCTGCTCCTCCAGAGTCCCCAAAGCTACAGAGTCTGCTGTCTTACTGGTGAATAGTCGCTACGTATTTATCCAAATACATGAGTCAACCGTTTATTATAAACAGGACTAAACATCAACAATGAAAATTACGTTAGAACTCCCAAATCTGTAACATTTGAAAGATCTTTGCATGTTTGTAAAAGCATGGAAGAAAGAAGTAATAGTTTGCATCACACGCCTAAAAAGCCAGCAATTTAGAACATACAAAAGAATAGAGAGTCGAGAGCAAGACATTTTACCACATACTACTTAACTAATAAATTCTTCAAGATAACTTTCAAGAACACTGATTTATCTTAAGTAAATTATTTTAAAATGACACAGCCAAATACTTGTTTTTGTTTTGTTGTTTTTTTTTTACAATTTCCCAGCAATACATTCTCTAATTATTAAACGTTTTATTTAGTCATTATTTGAAATTTTTGGCTAAATGCATTTAAAATAACAACAATTTCACTTGTCATAAATGGCCAGCTACCCTTTACAGAGTAAGTCAATTTCAAGAGTTAAAATTGCAACTGTAAGTATGCCCTACTTACAGTTTTAATTTTTCCTTGAATCAACTTCTGCAAATCACTCATCAACTTCACTCTTTTTTCTTTGTCACAGTCTTTTCTATAAAAGAGAATAAAAGAGGGTGGAAACATAGCTTAAGCGAAGACATTTTATACACGTGAAACTAAAAACTGCTTCAGTGTATGTGCACCCAGTTAAGTGTGATTTTCTCTTTGAAGGCAGCAAACCTTTTGACATTAACATTACTATTCCAGAGCAGCCAGAGAGAAGTAATTTTCTCAAAGGCAGAAATTCATCTCACAAGGTATAATTTCATGCATCAATCTAAGCCTTCACAGCCAGAACTTCAAAAGTGCAAAAAATAATAAAATAAGTGCAAGACACCAAAGACTTAAGTATCTCAAAACCTAGCTGATAAGAAATTGTCCTTCATTGTCTCAGAAATCTTTCAGGAAGGATGTCAAACCCAATTTAACTCGAATGCATTTTTATAAACATATCTGACACCATCCTAGTGATCCCCACATTTCTAAAACAAGAAGATATCCAAATACTGATACCTCCACTGGAGTGTTATAAATGCTCCCTAAATAACCCAAGTGCTATGTCATTTGTTTTAGGACATCTCATTATTTACGAGGCATACTCTTACTCCTCCATCAAAGAGGCCAATAAAGATGCCACTAAGTAGCATTACCTTCTCACGATCTCCCAAATCTGCTTTGCCCGAACAACAATGTCATAGTTGGTTCTATCACTTAGTTGTCTGCTTTGCTTCAGTTCTTTCTTCTTCTTTTTGAAATCATCCCATTTGGGTTTCTTGGCTGCTGATTCTAATTATTATAGAAATTATTTCCAATTACATTTAACATTCTGATGCCACAGACAAGTATAAGTCAGGTACATAGGGCAATCACTGATCAGGATCTACATATACTCTATGGGGAAACTAGAAGGGGGAAATATCATTCTCTATACACTTATACTTTATTTCATTCTTTGAGCAGTTTACACATTTTAAACTTGGTTCAAACTAGCCATCCATTTATTCAGTAGCTATTTATTGATTCTTAAGAGGATACCTATTAAAAAAAAAAAAAGGAAACCAAAAGGATGGTAAAAAGCAATTCAGAACTTTTAAGCATCTTTTTCAATTGTAAAATAAAATTCTACTTTAGAACATCAAGTTCATTGGACTTTAGATATAATCAGTTCTTAAGGAAAACAAAAATTAGTTCAAATTAATTAGTCCAAATAATTAGGTTAATTAGTCCAAATTAAAACAGGAAAAACAATGTAATAAAAAAATTCACCATTCTGAGTGCTGTTATGTATTAAGTCATTTAATTCTCAGAACAACTCTATTTTAAGGTGAATACTTTTATTTATTTTTTAAGATGAGTTCTGGGGTTAGACACAGAAACAAAAAAAGACTGTAAAATCTTATGTACATGTGGAATCTAAAAATGTCAAAGACAAAAGCAGAGAGTAGAATAGCGGTTACCAGGGCAGGGAGGCGGGGAAAATGGAAAGATACTGGTCAACGGGTACAAATTGTAGCTAACAGGATGAGTAAGCCTAGAGATAATGTATAGCATGATGACTATCCTTAATACTACACATTTGCTAAGAAGTAGGTACTATTATTGCCCTCCCTTTCACATTGGGGGAACAAAGGCATAAAGTAGTTAAGCTCCCAGGTTCAAGGTCATACAACTGTAAGTGGCAGAGTCAGGATTCATATCCAGAGACAACTCTGAAACTTTATGCTCTGCTTCCTTTTACTCATGACAATGCACAATCAAAAGTTCTAAGTTCTCTACAAACAGAGCAATTCTATAAAAGTCAAGTGTCTTTCTATTAGTATTTTTTGTCCTCAAAACCAATTGAATCAAAAAGCCTAAAGAGGCCAAAGAATAACTTAATGTGTATTGTTAACATGAGTATTCTCTTTGGAGAATTAGTTTTTTCTAAATGTCTCCCTTTCTCTGATTAGAAAATACACTCATTATAAGAAACTTAGAAAATGCAAAAACAAAATTCTTCTATAATCCCAAAACTTAGATATAACCACTGACATTTTATTTCCTTCTTGTCTTTTTATCTATGCATGTTTTATATTACTCTTCCTAAAAATTCAGAATCTGTCTTCACTTAAACTTAATAACTATATTGTAAGTTTTTTTCCATGAAAATAACTATTCCTTGAAACTGTAATTTTCAATGGCTGTACAACATACAACATATGTATTCCCCTTACTGGTTATTTATTCCTGGCCTGGTAATAGAGGGTTATAGGTAGCAGAGGGCATATTTACCTTTGATATTAGACTATCATGTACTTTACTGCAGAGGACAATAACTGACTCAGAGCTCATTTAATTCCATAAACATTTGGGCACCCTTGACATATGCCATGCTAGGTTGCAGTAGACATACCAATTTGGGGGATGTCTAGTATCTAATCCCCCTCAGTTGCTAGAATAAAAATATGAGAAAATAAAATCAGAGTTCCATTTCGAGATGTCAGGAACATGTCTCCCAAAGCAGAAAGAACCCAGACTACAGCATGACAGGATCATGTGAGAATGTGTGTGTTCAAAAATCAGGTGCCCAAATCCTAGTAGGGAAAGGAAGATTTAGGAGCTATTAGAGGAAGTAGGAAAGAGAAACTATGGGGTGTGAGCGCGTGGTGGAGGGAAGACGAAGAAAAAAGGATCAAGAGAAAACATTGAAGCTGGAGCATGCAAGAACCCTGCAGACCTAAGAGAAACAATGAAAACTGTTCCTTCCTTCCCCTCTCCCAACCTCCCTGTGTAAAGGCTGCGGTCCCTCTAGTGAACAGCCCAGGCAGAGTAGAGAGCAGGGACCTGGGTTAGGGAACAAGTGAGAAGGCTGTATGGCAGTGGCCTCAGTTGGCAGCAGAGGAGCAGTGTTATGAGATACCATTTTGGAGAAAAAGAGAATGAAAGACACCAGAGAAAGTCCCATGATGCTGCAGAGAAGGTATATGTATAACAGCACATGTAAAGTGGAGACCAATGCAAGATAATACACAAGAGGGGCACACTGTACAAGAGACGGCAAGGCTCTGGTTTAGAAATGACCCCTGGAACAGCCTGACGAAGAGATGAGCAGTGTGTTTCAACAGACACATGGGAGCCCTGCCAGTACATCCCATCAGTGAGCAACTTGTCCTGAACCAATGAAAGTCAAATATGCCAGGTGTACTCTACACCCTCCTTGGAACTGCCTGCTGGACCTGAGCCATCTGATGGGTTGACCTAAGCTCTGTGAAAGGACGGTCTATATGTCTCTTGATCACCAAGGCATCCGTAGCCAATGCAGATATATATATATATATATTTTTAAATATCTTTTTTTTAAATTTTTTTTTATTTTTTTTAAAAATATATTTTATTGTCCCACTACTGACCTATTTATATGAAAAGATTTGAAAGTTCTTATGTAGACAATTATTTTCTTAAATTGATAACTTCTTAATCACAGAGAATATTGTCCCAAAACAGTGCTTATTTAAAAAATGAGCCTAATCTTAAAAAGTATACATAGAACAATATTAGTGAAAAAGAAACAGGTTGTGATGAACTAATGTGACTAAAATATATATACTTAAAGTTACAGACCTAAAGAATAAATAAGGAGAAAATTCTGTCATTGTAGAGAGAAATATGGTATATAACTCCAATTTCATTGATACGTAATCCTACTTGTTACGTTAGCTTATACTTTTTCTTTTTTAAAAACATATTTTATTGATTTTTTAAAAATATATTTTATTGATTTTTTACAGAGAGGAAGGGAGAGGGACAGAGAGCCAGAAACATCGATGAGAGAGAAACATCGATCAGCTGCCTCCTGCACACTCCACACTGGGGATGTGCCCGCAACCAAGGTACATGCCCTTGACCGGAATCGAACCTGGGACCCTTCAGTCCGCAGGCAGACACTCTATCCACTGAGCCAAACCGGTCAGGCATTTTTAAATATCTTTTTACTGATTTCAGAAAGGGAGAAGAAGAGATAGAAACATCAATGATGAGAGAGAATCATTGATCGGCTGCCTCTTGCATGCCCCCCCTCCACTGGGGATTGAGAACACAACCCAGGTATGTGCCCTTGACTGGAATCGAACCCGGGACCCTTCAGTCCGCAGGCCGACGCTCTATCCACTGAGCCAAACCGGCTAGGGCAATCCCATCTACTTTTCACCCCCACCCCACATGCTGCCTGTCAAGGAACAATGGGAGGCCACTAATAGATTTCTAGAGTCCCTGTGCACAGTGGTCCTGGCAATAGCGCAGGTAGGGCAAGCCTTCCACAAAAACCATGCCGAAGGAACCAGTGCTTACCATCACTTTTACTGTCCGGCTGGAATTTTCTCTTCTTGTTGAATTTATTTGCCTGCTGGAATTTGTTCTTTGGTATTTTATCCCCTTGTTGTTTATTCCTGAATTGTTTCACACCTTTTTTCCCTGGTTTTATGGCACTTTTCTGAAAGTTCTTAGATGTGATTTTAGGTCCACCTTCCTTAACAACTTTTTTTGGGAATGTCTTTGAAGAACCAGAATCTAGTGAGGATACAAAATGATCATTAGTTCAATAATCCTGAGCCTAGATCTCTTGTATCCACTGGGTTGTATTTGTTACAGAAAATTATACCCTCTTTAGTGAAAATACTTTGTCCTACTCTCAAATATGGAGCAAAGGATTTAAAATACCAAACCAAAATTTAAAAACTTCCTCTGATTACAAAACTGTAATAATACAAGTTCATTACAGAAAACCTATAAAGTAGAGGCATGCATAATAAAAACTATACATAATTCTAGAAATAACCAGTTTGGTATATTTCTCTATTTTAAGCATAGAGTAGAAGGGAGGAATTATTTATACACCTTTGTATTCTAATTTAATGACTCCATATCATTAGTCTTTACATATAACTTCTAAAAGTTCAATAACATCTTAGGAATCTAAAAATAGAATAAACACTTGAAATTTAAGAGGTATACCATATAGGCAAATTAAAGATGTTAATTTTTCAAAAATTCTAATTTTCGACAATAATTTTCAAACCCTATAATAAAGTTATTTGACAAAAAAAATCTTCTTTGGTCAACAAAGTTTGCAAATTAAATACCAAACAAATGAAATGAAAACTCCAACAGCTAAGACTGCTGTAAGAAAAAACAAGGAAAGATTGCTTAGGAAACATTTAATCATTTACACAGACTGACTTTTCTATTTTGCAATACTGACACCTGATGGAATATGAAGACATCACAATTAGAAATCTTGAAGATAAAAGTATATGGTTTACCAGTATTATATACTAATCAACCACAATATATCAAACATTAAAATACAATGTGGTGAACTGGTGTAGCTAGCATGAGGCAACAGTATCACTAGCTGACGACCCTCCCTCCAATTATAAAGGCCAAATAAATAACCACACCAGAAGCATATCTTGGTAAGGCTATCTTACCATTGTTCTTATAAAATCTGTTTTTTTCTTGTGACTTCTTTGTACCTTTTCCTGTGAATTTTTGTTTTGCTTTGACTTCCATCATGGCAACTCTGGAAAACAAAAACGAAACCCAAAAGGATCACTGAATTGCTGTCATCTAAGTCATTAAGTAGTCACTGCAACATTTAGTCCGAGTTCTTACATACAGGGCAACCCACACATGTCCAGGAAGTAAACAATCACTGCTTCTAAGATTTTACAATGGGAAATAAATACCAACATAAAAAATAAGAACACACACACACACACACACACACACAGACAAACTTGCACAAGTGCACCCTGGCTAGTGTGTAATTTATTCGGAGGCAACACTTCAGTAATAGTATTGGCTAAAAGCAGAACATTATTTACATTAAATATGATATACATGTCAGTATTTGTGTTTCTTATAACCTGGGAAGATTTTGTGATGAGAAACTGAAAATATTACCATTTGTTTTCTTGGGTCTCTATCCTAAAAAGCCAGAAACAATAGGTTGCATTTACCATATATTCAAATTTAATGAACAAAAATAAAAGATTATCTAAAAGTTTCCTATGTAACACAATGTAACTAAAACAAAGACTAACTTCAAATGTTTAACTTGTTAATCTTTTAAGTGTTTTCTAGTAACCCTCAAAATACTACTATGTTGAAACATTTAATATTTTGAGAAATCTGCCTAACAGGTCACTTCTGGGTACAGAAACCCCATGGTACACAGGGCAGACAACAGATAACCCCTCACTTACCCAAGGATCCTGAAAAGCAGCAGAATATGTCAAAAACAAAAGTTATTTGGCTATTTCTCCACCTTCCAAAACTGTATATTCAATTCATTCCTAAATTTCTAAAGTTGATGCCCTAGGGTAGATGTTAGGATCCCTAGACAATACCGTATTTCTGTGACAGTTTGTCAGTCTCTAATTGTTTCTCATGACTGAGATACTTTTGAAAACTACTGGTCAGGCACTTTGTAGAATATCCTTCTTTTGGGGTTTGTCTGATTGTTTTCTCACTATTAAGACTGGCTTTATGGATTTTTGGGGAAGAACATCACAGAGATGAAGTGCCCCTGACATTACATCATATTATGAGGAACATGGTATCAACATGACTGGCAATATTAACCTTGTTCACTTGGTTAAGGTACCGTTTGCCAGGTTTCTCCACTGTAAAGTTACTATGCTTCCCTTTCTACACTCTATTTATTAGAATCAAGTCACTATGTTCACATAAATTAAGGGGAGGGGAATTAAACTCTACTTCCTAGAGGAGGAGTATGAAACAATTTGTTAAAATATGTATGCTAAAATCAGCATAGCAACTAAGAAATATTTTGGGTGATATATTTGGAGATTATGCAATATTTTCTATTTCTCCCACTAATTTTAGCATTATCCAATGAATCTTCCCTGCATCCATAACTGTGGTGTTTTAATGGTGACTTTCTATTTCCTTCATTACTTCTACCTTCGTTATTTCAAATTCTTCTGCAGAGAACATTTGTTTCTTCTCCTCTGTTCATTTATTTAATCATTTAATCATTTATTTACATCAGTATGGTCTCATAGATATTTTTGTTACTTGGTTGATAACCTATTCCTTTTGTTGCTCGAATTGTTCCAACCTTGGTCAGTGGGAAATCTTTCAGTCTGCTGTGTCCTTTTGACAAGCCCCATCATGTTCCTGACACTTGTTTGAAGTTCACCTTATATTTTCCTTGTGATAGCTGTGAAATAAGTCATTTCTCCAAGGAACCAGGGTCCTTCTACTGAGAATGGTATTTCAAAACCAGATGAGTGCTGGGTGTGCTTGCTGCCGCTGGGGTGTCACTGCTTCTGGGTGTTTTCACCAAACAGGGCTAGTAACATGTGTGTGTACACTAGCCTGTAAGAACACACAAACCTGTTTCCGTACCTATTAAATAAGCTCCTATTAATGTCTCCCAGTTCGAACCAAGTGCCATGGGGTTCTCTACCCTCCTCTCCTGCTTATCTGTAACTTCTTTCTCTGACAGTGAGAAGCTTGCCTCTCTCCGTATCCACAATTTGTGTATTGTTTAACCCTAGCACACATGTAGGGGGTACAGATTGCTAACCTGTATCCCGGTGAGATACAAACTTACCATCGACAGCGCAGCGTTTATGAGCATTATAACGGAAGTATATGCAAAGTGTTCAGGGAGCCGCAGAGCTGAGAGCCAGCTTATACCACAGCAGAGATATAGCAGAGATTTCCCACAGACAGTGGGACATGGGGCTGATCTTTCTTTCACTCCTTTCAGCAGACTTAGCATTACGCTTTGAAAGTAGTAAACGTCGAATACCCAACTTCTGAATGTAGGCATTCCTCAAATCTTGCCCGCTCTCTCCAGACTTCTCCCTAGGTGACCTCATCCAATCCCAGGGCTCTCTACGCTGGAGACTCCCAAATTATCGCTCCATTAGGGACTTCTCTTGCGATCCTGACTTGTGTATCTCACTGCCTACCTGATACCTCCATTTATGTTCCTTACACTCACTAAGTCCAAAACAGAATTCTTTAACTTTACCGCCACTGCAAACAACACCCAAACAATCCTCATCTTTCCCACCCTCTTCTTCTCCATCTCAGCCAATGGCACATCAGCCACTCAAGGAAAAACAAAAACAACAAACCTAAGATTTATCTTCTCACTTATCTGCTACATTCAGGCCTGCAGTAAGTCTTGTTCAACCCCCTTTAAAAACACCTCTAACCCTCCACCTTTGATCTCCACTGCTACCACCTCAACCCAAACCATTATCAATCATCTCCAATTACATAATCAACAATAATACAAATTACAGGCCTTTTCTAAAGACAACCGGGGCCTATCATGTTTCTGCCTTGCTTACAAGTCTTCGCTGTTTTCTACAAATGGGAACAGAAATGGCACTGTATTCCCAGGTAGAGAAGACCTAAACTCCCCCACCGTGGCCTTCAAAGCCCCACAGAACCTCGTCCCACCACCCTCCCCCTCTCATTCTATCTGGTATCGCTGCACTCCGAGCTCAACACAGGGGCTCTTTTTCTATAGCTCCCAGCTCAGGGACTCAGCCCAAGTTACCGCTTCCACTGAAAGCACTTTCGCCCGGGCTTCGGGGTTTCAGGGCTGCCTCTCTTCACGCTTTAGGTCGGCTTGCAGCGGTTCTCAACCTGTGGGTCGCGACCCCTTTAGCGGTCGAACGACCCTTTCACAGGGGTCGCCTAAGACCATCCTGCATATCAGATATTTACATTACGATTCATAACAGTAGCAACATTACAGTTATGAAGTAGCAACGAAAATGATTTTATGGTTGGGTCACAACATGAGGACCTGTATTTAAAGGGCCAGAAGGTTGAGAACCACTGGCTAAGGCTTAAGGATCACTTCGTCAGACTCCCCCATCCTCCACCTCGGTTCCCAACAACTTTCCCTTCGGCGCTCAGAGCCTGGCAATGTGCATTCAGGTTGCAAACTCGGCGCCCAGCACCGACTGGGCGCAGAGTGGACGCGTGTCAAACGTACGGCAGGAAGGCTGAACGCAACTAGCACGGGCCGGGGTGTCGGAGGGTGAAAGGAGTCAGGCTAACTCTGCAGTCTCAGGACATTCGGGTGAAAGGGTCTCCAAACTCCCACAGCAGAACGGTCACTGAAGGCTGCCCGGCGAGCGACAGGTGCGAACACCTCTATCCTCTCTGGAGGCCCGAGGGCCCCTCCGACTCCAGCGCCCGGCGTGGGGCGAATCCCTCCCTTTTTTGCCGCCACCCGGCAGCTCCCGGCTCCCGCCGCCGCTTCCGCTTCCTGGACTTGCCCCGCCCCCGGGTCCACGGATTTCTTCTTCCGCTGGGGAGCGTGGGTTAAAGGGCGGGGCTAGCCGGGAAGTTTGGCATTTCTATTGGTCCACCCCTATTACCTCATCGAGAAGAACCGGGGCAGTGACACAGGCGGGTTTGGCCCTCGAAACGATCCGTCGGCGAGGGCGTGTCAGCGGCTCCCGGAAGTGACGCCGTTAACCCCGTCGCTTCCGCGCCAGGAGGACGGCGGCGTTTCTCGAGGGTAAATCCGCCTTGGTAGGCATGGCTCCTTCTGTAGCCTGAACTAATACTAAAATAGTTCACGTTTTTAGAGTGCGTTAATATGCATCTTCTCTGACAGTCTAGCGCGAAGGATCAAAGCGAAACCTCGGGATCCGGTTTGAATTGTAATCCTGGTGTTTTTTTCGCTTGCTAGCCCTGGGGCTTTGGGCAGATTATTTCGTTTCTCTGAGTCTTGATGATCTGATCAATACAACAGAGGTAGCTAAATCAAAGCTCTTAGTACAGTGAATGGTCATAAGCTCTCAATAAATGTTTACCATTTTTAAGGCCTGCCCATTCTTCCAGACTGCATTGATCCCATTTTCCCACATCCGAGAGTGAGACTAGTTCGGATAGTATCCCCATTTCACAGGTGAGAAAACGGACACCACAAACTCGGGTCAAGCAACACAGCTTATTCTCTAACAGTTCTGTAGGCTCGAAGCCCCGAGTCAAGCGGCAGGCACGGTGGTGCCCCCTTCAGCTTCTGGTCGTTCCCGGTGCCCTGTGGCTTGTGGCTGCATGACTCCGATTTCCGCCTGTTGTCGCTTGGCCTTCTCTTCTGTGTCCTGTCTATGTTATAAGGGCACTTGCCACTGGCTTTAGGGCCCATTGTAACCATCCCGGGGGTCCTCAATTGCATCTGCACAGACCCTTTTCCCAAGAAAGGTTACTTTCACAAGTATGGGGGTTCGGGCACCGACATATCTTTTCCAGGGCCACCTGGGAAGTTAAAGAATTGGAACTTGATACCAGGTGTGTCAAGTTCAGATTTTACTGTTCAGTTTACTGCCCCTCAAGGCTTTAGGCTTGAGCCTGGTACAGTAATTCACTAGACTTCTGGAGGGTGGGGCCCTGGTTACTTTCCAGGCACTTATGGCACTACTCAACACATAGGTGTTTGATAAGTACCTATTTTTTGCCTCCACCATTATATTTTCATTTCAGCTCATTTAAGTCTCATAAGAACATTTCAAGTAGGTCTCCCCTCCTCTTTTTTTTTTTTTTTTTTTTTTTTTTTTTTTATGGAAAAGGGGGAAACAAAGTAGTTTTGATCTGGTGAGCCTGACTCCAAACTCAACATGACTGCCTCTGTACTGCTTTCTTTAATCCATTAATTCTCCAGTAAATGCTCAAGAACAGGAAATGCAGCTCTATCAGCAGTGCCTATTAGGCAAATAGCATGGCACATGCTAGCAAAAAAAAAATAAAAATAAAAAATTCTTCACAAATACACCCTACCACACAATATCTGGGAGGGGTTGCATTTGTAAAGGCCTCAGATAGCAGCACCTTATATGCTCTCAGACACATCCATATGGCTGTCTTAAGTATGTACATCAAAAAAATGATTACATACCAAAGTCCGAGATTAATATTAGTAATGTTATTTATCAAGTCTTTTATGCTGTCAAAAATAGATTCACTTGAGTGTTTTTGTTTGTAGTGAGTTGAAAGTCTCTCTTGGTTTTGCAGAATAGCAACAAAGCTTATCCTGCAATTTTGCAGTTAACCAAGTAAAGCCCAACAATTCTTCAAATATCTAATAATCTTAATGTTGAGAATTATGTATATTCCTAGAAGCATAAAATGCTCTTCCTAAATAACACAGAATGCAATTTAATCAGAGCAGCTAGACTTGTACATATCCAAGAGGTTTACAGCAATGCAATGAAGGGGATTGGCATTTGGGTCAAATGAACTCTGAATCCAAGGTCTGTATGTCTATGGACAAGATAGTTAATTTGTATGGGCCTCAATTTCTGCATATGTAAAATGGGAATAACAACACTTACCTTTTGGGGTTTCTCTGTGACTCAAAGTGATAATAACTGAAAAGTTATTAGCCAATAGTAAACGTTGAGTGTTTCATAGTTTGAGAGACGGTGATAGAACCAAGTTGTGTCCATTAGAGATGCTTTTGCCTGCAAGTAGTGAGAGTTCAGTTAATAGTGACTTAAACAATAATTTTCTTCACACAACACAATTCTGAAGGCAGTTGGTTGCTCTAGTTCAATGATTTTCAACCTTTTCCATCTCATGGCACACCTAAACTAATTATTAGAATTCTGCAGCACACCAAAAAATATATATATATATATATTTTGCTGATCTGATAAAAAAAAATAGGTATAATTTTGATTCATTCACACCAACGGGTATTGTGTGTTGGCTGTTGTCATTTTTTATTTAACAATCTAAGGGAAAAGTGGTCAGTGCCCCTGACTAAATAGTCAGGTATTGCAGGTTTTAAATTGTTTTGTGGCACACCAGTGTGCCTCTTGCTGCACACCAATTGAAAATCACTGCTTTAGTTTAATGATTCCATAATGTCATCGAAGACTTATGTTCTTGCACAGGTTCTATGCTCCACCATGCTCAGCTTGTTAACTTCATTTTCACAGTTGCTGCTTTCATTTATTTTTCCCCCACTTGTACCTTTTGACCACCTTCATTTATCTCCTGCCCATCTCCCTTCACTTCACCTCTCACAACCACCAACCTGATTTGTCTCAATGAGTTCTGGTTGTTTAGATTCCACATATAAGTGGGATTATACAGTATTTATCTTTGTCTGACTTATTTCACTGTTTGCAAAATATACTTCTTAGTTTCAGAATTTATATCAGAGTTCAGGGCCAGAAGAATGGAAAAAGAGAATGAAATTTACTTTTTTCTCCACTGTAGGGTGCTATCCTTTTATTCCAGAAGGAAAAGACCTAGCAAGGTCCCCCTTCTAGTTCAGTGCCTAAAACTGGGTCACATGGGCACCCCCAGATTGGAAGTCCATCAGACATGTTAACCAGGCATTTAGAGTTCACTCTTTTTCCAGTACTCCAGTAAAATGAAAGGTCACTTGGCAGATATGCCTCCACCTAGTGGTAGACATTTAATTTGTGATTTAAACTAATCTGGTTTAAAACTTAAATTTTAATAGCAGTAAGCTAAAACTTAAAATAATTGTAGTATCCTTGGTAGTGAATCTCAATCTTGGCCACACATGAAAATCACCTGGGGCGTTTAAAAAGCAAAAACCAGACCCAGTAATTCTAATTTAATTAG